CAGGGAGCCTGACGTGGGACTCGATCCCAGGACTCCAGGATCATGACCTGAGCCGAAGGCAGTCGCTTAACCAACTGAGCCACCCAGGTGCCCAAGATGTTATTTATTTATTTGAGAGAGAGAGGCAGAGAGAGAAAGCATGAGCAGGGGCAGAGGGAGAGGGAGAAGCAGACTCCCCGCTGAGCCAGGAGCCCGATGCGGGGCTCGATCCCAAGACCTTGGGATCATGACCTGAGCCAAAGGCAGACGCTTCACCGACTGAGCCACCCAGGTGTCCCATGTGGGTGATTTTTAGTTTTGTTTCTCTGAATTTTCTGATTTTCTATGGTGTGCATGCATTATGGCATGGGCTCTGGAGTAAGAAAGAACCGAATATAGGTTTTCATAATACCAGTTACCACGTGGGGGATCTGGGGCAAGTCACATAAACTCTGCTGAGCCTCTTCCCCTCAGTGAGGATAATAACAGAACTACATTGACCCTAGAACAACATGACAGTTAGGGGCGCCGACCCCCAGGCAGTCGAAAATCCATGAATAACTTTTGATTCCCAAAAAGTCTTAACTATGTAAATAGTCTACTGTTGGCCAGTAAGCCCTACCAGTAACACAGCTGATTAATGCATATTTTGTAGGTTATGTATTTATATACTGTGTTCTCACAATAAAGTGAGAGAAAAAAATGTCATTAAGAAAATCATAAGGAAGAGAAAATATATTTACAGAACTGTGCTGTATTTATTGAAAAAAAAAAAAGCCACAGGTAAGTGGACCCGCGCAGTTCAAACTCATGCTGTTCAACAGTCAGCTGTACTTTGTAGGGTCATTAAGCAAGATTAAATGAGTTATGGACGCCTGCATGGCTCAGTTGGTTAAGCATCTGCCTTGGGCTCAGGTCATGATCCTGGAGTCCTGGGATTGAGCCCTGAGCCCCAAATCGCATCGGGCTCCTTGCTCAGCAGGGAGCCTGCTTCTCCCTCTGCCTGCACCTCCCCCTGCTTGTGCTCTCTCTCTCTGTCTCAAATAAATAAATAAAATCTTAAAAAAAAAAAGATTAAATGAGTTAGTGATTGTCAATTGCTGGCAGAGTGCCTGACACCTTGGCTCTCAATAAATGAAAGCTATTATTATAAAGATTTGGTAATTTAAAAAAAGTTAATAAACTCTCTCCCAACTAATAATGTTTACAGTCATTAGAAATATCCCTTAATCATCTGTTAGGCTAGGAAACCAGTAACTTCACAGAGAAAAAAAAAACAACCAAGAAAGAGTCAAATGTGGGATGAACTCTAATAATGAAAGTGTGTAATCTAATAAAGAGATTCTCAGTCTAGTAAGTAGATTATGTGATGGTAGCAGGTCCAGAATGATGACAGTGATGTCAGTTACAATTACCTATCAGTGTAGGAGTGGTCCTTGGCACAATATTATGTGTAACCTACAAGTTATATGTATAATACATAACTTAAAAAGAGTATATGTATTTGTGTATGCTAAGCTGGCCTAGGGATACACCCTAGGGAACTTCTCTCCTTGCCCGTTCTGAGAGAGGAGGATTCATCTTTTCCCCATTTTTTTAGATGGAAGGAATAAAGGCATCTTCCCAGCCTCCCCCGGCCCCCATGTGCCCCTCAGCCCCAGGCCCCTCACCTGGCATCTCAGGGTGCTCTGGTGGATTTCTGCAGCTGGTGTCAGACTGGGCAGTGCCTGGAACTGCCTCCACCAGGCCCTGCTCCTCACACCTGCGGAGGAAAGAGGGCCCGATTCAGGTGGGCACAGGGCTGGGGGTGGCAAGGTGAGCCCGTGGGTGCGAGCACAGGGTGGTCAGCAGCTGGGACTTCTGGGATGGTGGAGGTGCGGCGTGGGGGCACACTCACCTTGTGTGGGGCTGGCAGCGGGCCGTGGGGGAGGAGGTGTTCTGGAAGTGGCCTGCCTTACAGGGCACACAGTTTCTGTTAGCCGCCCCGACTTCATCTGGCAGGAGAAAAGCAAGGCCAGCCTGGGTGAGTGGGCAAGGGGAGAGTCTCTCCACGTGAGTTTCCGCTGCTCCCATGCGACGGCCCCTCCCTGCCCGCCCACCTCACTCTGTGGCACCTTTCCTGATTGCCCTCTTGCTCAGAGAAGCCTCCAGAGGCCCTGCCTCTGTCCTGGTTCCATGTCTCTGCAGATGCCCGCAGTGGGACTCTCACAGGGAGGGAGAGGGGCTCTTTATAGTGAAGAGAACTACCTGGGGGGCTTCCCCCCACCGGCGAAGTTCAGTGCTCCCTGCCCCCTTTCAAGATCGCCGACACCCAGCGGCCTCCCTGCCCTCCTCCCGCAGCGACCTCTGACCTGTCAGCTGGGCCTCGGTGCCAGGCGGGCAGTCGGAGAGTGGCTCGCAGTGCACACACTCAGTGTCCCAGTGCACGCAGAACATTCCCGGCTGGCAACGGCACTGGGTCTTCCGTCTGCTGGTGCAAGGCACGGTCTCCTCGAAGCCCAGCACTGGTGGGGAGACAGGAGGGCTCAGCGGAGGGGCCGCGGCTGGGGACATACCGGCCCCCCCGACCCCCC